CAGCCGGGCCCGTTCCCGCCGCCGCGGACCCTCGGCTTCCTCGCGGCGCGGCCCGCCTCCCTCCCCGGTCTCTCGCGCGCCGCTCGGGCCGCGCCTCCAGCTCGGCGCAGGCTTCGCTCCACGAGTTGGCCCGCACTGCTCTCTCCAGCCCGCTGGGTCTTTGCGCCCTTTGCCTTCCTCCTCCCCTCTGGGCTGTGACCCGCGTTTGGCAGGACTGGGGACATTTTGGGGCCGGAACTGGGGAGCGTGTTTTGCTCCCCAACCCAATCTGGGCGGCCAGTGGCCTACTTTGCGTGAGGCGCCCGGTGCGCTTTGGTGACCCAGAGGGAAGCTGGCGTGGCCTCTGGCTCTGGTTAAGCTGGTGACAATTGGCCTCTTTCCCGCGGACTTTGAGGTGTCCCCCCCCACCCCCGACCGGGCACCCTCCCTCTGGGTTTTCAATACAATGTTGGCTGCTCCTTTGTTCGTGGAGGCGAAGCAGAGGGACCTCGGGCGGGTGGTTCTCAGCACCCGAGGGGGCAAAGTTGCCGTGCGAGGTTCAGCCTGCTCGGGTGCTGGTCTGTGCGGCTGGTTGTGTTGTGTTTGGGGTTTTGGTCCCTCTCAGAATCATTTCGAATATGCCGAGGGGTCTTGATGCACCGGGCTTGGAGCTAGTGACATCAAGTCAACTGGCCGCAGAAACACCAGGGTGGCTCAAGCACAGCTTAAGGCACTGTAAAGCCAGGCCGAGGCGCCCCGCTTGGCGGCGAGAGCAGCCGCCCTGCGGCGCCGCGCGTCCCAGAGAGCGGCCGGCGCCGCCTCCGCTCCGGCCGAGCGAGGCTGTTTGCCCGAGGGCCGAAGGCGCTCCCTCGGTCTAGCCACCGCGCATTGTTAGAGCCAGAGTCTGGGTCGGGGAGAAGCTTTCTCAGCGGCTGGGAGCGCCCGGGCATCGTGAACCCAGAGAGGTCAGGGTGGCGTGGGGGCGCTCCGAGGAAACCTTTATGGGCCTTTGGGGAGACCCGGCGCAGTCCAGACCAAACTCAGGGGGACTGCAGCAGTAGCCTCATGGGTGACCGCTCCTCTATATCCTTCGCTTGCAGATCAACAAAAAACCACAGTGATTGAAAACGGGGAAATCAGGTTCAATGGAAAAGGGAAAAAGATTCGGAAGCCTCGGACCATTTATTCCAGCCTGCAGCTCCAGGCTTTAAACCATCGCTTTCAGCAGACTCAGTACCTGGCCCTTCCCGAGAGAGCTGAACTGGCAGCTTCCTTAGGACTGACACAAACACAGGTAATTCCCGAGAAGCCCGAATATCCCTGAAATGCTGACCCCGCTTGCAGATCGGGCAGGGAGCACTCAGGAGGAATTCTTGGCCTAGTCAACCAAGGATGGAAGGAGCTTAATGACAAATGCCTTTGCTCCAGTTATGCACTTTCCCGGGACAACACAGTTTGGAATAAATGACCTGGTATTGAATACTGGATTGGATTTGCACATCCTCCCAACCCTCGGCGACCCCACCCCAGCCTAGTGTCCTTTGGTGACCAAACTCATAATTTAATCAAGTCATATTCCAGAGCAGAACAGCACAAAAGGGAACAAACATGTAGGAGAAAGAGAAAAAGATGTTCAGATCAGGAGGCAGAATAAGACCTATGTTTTTTAAGGCTCTTTTTGTGGGCCCTAGGACTTAATGAGAATTTCAACTCGTTGACATAGAAAGAAAGAATTATGAAGTGAAATGGGGTGGAGGAGAAGAACCAGATAGCCATAGGCTCCAACAGGATTTTGTTAAGGGACCAAGGTGCAAACTATTCATTCTAGGATGGGTGAGGTGGCTTTTCTGAAGATTGCCCTAAGCTCAATGGTTAAATCATACTGGGTAACCGGCTGGTGCAGGTTGAGGTACCTCCTTGGAGGACAGGCCTTGGGAGCAATGGCAGAGTTGGAGATCAAAGAGAAATGCTCCCCAAATTACAGCAGGTGATGCCTCAGTTAAGTACAGTTGCTGAAGTTCTCCTGTCCTACTAATTTGAAAGACATAAGGGGCATTTCAGACTTCACAGGAAGTGGCTTAGGCAGATACATTAGGACCCTGGTCATAAAGCCAAGCTGCAATCACCAGTGGTTTTTGTCCTTGCTGATTAATTTAGCTGCGTGGGGTAGAAGGCCTTATCTGAGGTAGATGATCTTCAGCAAGGGGACTTCAGGTTTTATGAGATTCTTACTAGGGAATGACTGTGTGGTGCCTTAGAACAGATGCTCCTTAAGCTCTTCTTTTCAATTCAGCCTGCTTTCTCTTGCCATATTGCCACTGGAAATATCTGGGGTTTGATATGAAGGGATTCCTGCTACTTAGTAACTTGGATTCCTCTTGGAAAAGCAGATTCCTATGGCTAAGTAATTTAGGTAAAGGAAGCTGCACCACAGAATTTCCTTCTTCAAATCAAGTAGATCTGGGATGTTAGCATCTGCAAAGATGCTCCAATCCCAGATTCTTGATTCACATTTAATTTTCAGGAGCCCTTTGACTTTTAGTGACTGCACTAACAATCATGTGATGATTGTTGACCACAATTTGACTAAGCAACATACAAAGTAGGGAATGAGGGAGGTACAATCTCTAATCCCTACAGGATTGTGGGGATATATTTATGTCTAGAGAAAGATGCTCCGTGCAGTCTATGGCATGTGCAGTATAACATAGGTATATTCAAGGCATTTGGTTATAAATGTACAGGCTTTAATCTGTTCATAGTCATTTGCTAGATGCCAGGTTTGGGGGTTGGTAAGTATAAAAACAGACTATCAGAGGAAGTGCATTCAATTGGCTTTGATCTGAAAAGTTCTCCGTATAAAAATCCTCCTTTAGACTTTGAACCCATGCATCTCATTCGCCTTCATTCTTATTTTATTCTTATTTATGCTGTTGTTTTAAACCTAGACTTACATCCAACTGAAGAGCTACAATGACTTGAGGTATCCAGACGAGATACCTAGTAAATGGGGAAGAGTAGGTAGGAGGAGGCTAGAAAGAGGTGGAGCAAGGCGGGGACTTGAGGGCTTGGCTTGCGAGGGTGTTTTGTTATTTTTTTTTTTTTGATATTGTTTCCAAAGCCTTGACTAGAGGCACCGGTCGACATTTTTGGGGCCTAATGATCGCTGCTGCCTTTCGTTCCAGGTGAAGATATGGTTTCAGAACAAACGCTCTAAGTTTAAGAAACTGCTGAAGCAGGGCAGTAACCCGCATGAGAGCGACCCTCTCCCGGGCTCAGCGGCCCTGTCGCCACGCTCCCCGGCGCTGCCTCCGGTGTGGGACGTTTCCGCCTCGGCCAAGGGCGTCAGTATGCCTCCCAACAGCTACATGCCTGGCTATTCGCATTGGTACTCCTCTCCACACCAGGACACGATGCAGAGACCACAGATGATGTGAGTTGTCCGAGGGAAATCGAAACCCTAGGAAACGTCTGAACAAGGCAAGGAGGATCCAGGACCTGCTTGCATCTGCCAAATCGAGCCGAAGGAGCAGGCTCGGGAGAACTTTTGTGTGTGGCGAGACCGTCTGGGAGCTTGCTCGCTCACTCGCTCTCTATCCCTCCTTCCCTCTCCCTCTGTCTTCTGTCTCTCACTCTTCCCTTTCTTTTCCTCCTTCCTTCCCACTTTTCTTTTTTCCTTTCCTTTCCTCATCTTCCTTTTCCCTTGAGCAGCCTCAATAATTGATCTTGCATTTAGGGAGAGTGAAAGAGAGAGAGAGAGAGAGACTGATTTCTATGCCAGCGCTCCTGAAACCCCTCACTGTAAGGACATTTTCCCTGACCCCTTGGGATCCAGGCTCTGAGCCTCTTCTTCTCTTTGGGAATATCCATCAAAACGACTTTTTTTACAGACGTTTTTCCCCACCAGAAGAATCTGTGCAAACATGGCAGCATTTTTACTTGTTTAATGAGCTTAAGACATTACATGATGCAAGAGAAGCATTTTGGACTCCTGCATTTTTATTTACCAATCCCAGACTGACCAAAAAAAAAAAAAAAGAGAGAGAGGGAGAAAAAAAAAGAAAAAACCTTCACGTAACAGCCCTTCTCTAAAGAAAAAGGAAAAATTGGCTGTAAGATTAGAACATTGCCACAAAGGGAGCGCTGCATGTTTTATCAAAATGCAATGATCAAGAATGATGATTTAAAAAACAATAAACAAAAACCACTCTTTCCCCACCCCCACCCCTACACCCTGAACTGGAATCAGGAAAGACAGAGGAAACAACCAAAATCACCGTTCTATTGCTTTGATACCTTTACTAGGTGAATTGGTGGCATTCACTAAGCTAATAGGGACATTTATATGGAGAAACATTTCTGTATATATTGTTGAATTTTAGTTGTACATATACTTTGTATGTTTTTGTCTTCTTTCATATATGGAGTAAAAGCCACAAAATGCTGGGAGTGTCCTGTATATTTCTCTCTGTTTGTCTCTATCTCACCGCCCCCACCTTCCCTCCCAGTATATTTTTCTATCACTCTTAAAAGAATTCCTGTTTCCTAAGGTGGGAAGCCCTATGCATAAACATAAAGTGCCTGCAAAGATGTGAGTTTTGCAGCACTAGGCTTTGTCTTAAGTACTTTAACATTAACCATAGATGTTTTCTCAGCTTCCTTTATATGTTATATTTTTATTGTAATTTCTACACACTTATCTATTTTTTTTAAACATTAGAATGATCTATCCCCAGGTTAACCTCTAGACATCCAGTAGTTTCCAGGGCTGAAACTAAGTGTTCTCCTTTCCCTTTCCTCAGGCAAAATAATACAGCTGAATTTGTCTTTGTTTGGAAGCAGTTTTTTTTTTTTTTCAACAAAAAAGAGGAAAGAATAAAAGAAACAGCAGAAAGTAAATGCACAGTTATGACTGCTTAATGTTTACAACCCTTTGCAAGCTAGCCAGGTAGGAAAATGCACAATCCTGGATGAAATACATCCTTCTGATCTCGTGGAAAGCACAGAAATAATGAAAATGAAAAGTCCTTTCGTCATACAAGCAGGAAGCCCCATACTGCGAGAATTAATGGCTACAGACCTGGGCATCCTTCAAATTATGAACCTTGAAACCACTGAGCCATTTATCAGAAGTCAATAGAGATACTCAGAGTGCTCCATATAATGACAGCGACATACAGTCGTGCAAAAGGACAGTCACTATAATTAGACACAAAGCAAAGACTACTTACCAATATACCCGTTCCTTTTTTTGTTGAGCAACTTCCACGCTCAGTCAGTCTTCAGAATGGTTTAAAACCGATCAGTCTTGTCATTTTCTAGCATTCGCATTGTTACATTAGGAAAAATGTTTTCTTTTCTTTTTTCCCCCTTCCTACTGTGAAACTTTGGGTTCGTAGCTCCCCAGGATCAATTCTGAACAAAGCCTCCAGCTGCAGTGCCATCCAATTTGAAGCAGACATTGGGGACAATTTAAGGTTTTTATCCACAAGAAGGTTTTTTTCCATTCTCTTAAATGCAGCCATAATTAGAGTAATTTTTCATGTAGCCCGCTGATTACAGCGTTTTTACCGTCAAAGATAATTACCTGTAATTTTCTTCCACTTTTAATACTAAAAAGCCATCTTTATTTAGATTCAGGAACAGGAAAGGCGAAACAAAAGAGGGAAATTATTCTGTTATTCATACACAAATTGCAGAGACGTAGGACCTAAAATTGAAAATTAACCAAAATTATAATGCTGAAAAGAATGGAAGAGGCTGCAGAAGTACAGCTGGTAGTGGGGCTTTGCTGAATTATTCAAATTACGTTAGGGAGAAAGCTACCATACATCGAAACCAACACTAATTTTTCTTACAAAAAAAAAAAATCCACCAGACACATGCCAAACCACTGTGAGTGCATGGAATTCTGAAACCCAGCAAATGCATGTTAACACATTGGAGGTGTTGTCATGATGAGCCTATAACTATTTCTCTCTCTCCTAATATGAGTTTAATTAAACAAGAAATTCTGCCAAAGGGTCACCCCAGAACTGTCCTTGGAACTGGGCTTCCTCTGGGTCCTCTGAACCTCAAGGGTTAATATTTTCGCTCTTTGGAATGTATTGACCCCATAGTAAACCGATTCCCAAGAGTGGGATTGGTAGGAGGGGCGTGAGCGAAAGGCATCGCCCAGTCGCGGTGCCTACTACGCCTCCCCACGTTCGAACTTCCCCGGAGTTCGAGTTCTAGAGCCTCGTTCTGATCTTATGTTCCATGTTTAAAAAGAAAGAACAATAGCTGAGGGAGGTGAGGGTGAAGGGTAAGATTTCTCCTAGCCGCCAATAAGCATCTCATTATCTTTTGACACAATTAGTCCAAAGGTTCTCGCCGCCGGAGAAAGGCCTGTCTGCACTGAGGGGAGGGAGCCAAAGATTTCTCAGGCTCCTGCACTTAACATCTCTAGCTGCTTGCAACGTCTACAGGGTCAGGAAACAGCGTCATCTATAGATAGAACAGCACCGCTTCTTGGGAGAGGCTTCCTTGGTGCCTTCCTAAATCAGCCTGGTTCCGCAGCTCGGTTCTGCGTCTCAGCCAATCATGCCCTTCCAACCCCAAGTTCGCAGCGTTTGGGCCCCGCGGGCAAGAGCTCTAAGAACAGCATCCCGCCCCTCCCCCTCACTGCCCCCACCCCCACCCCCAGCTTGAGGCAAAGGCCCTGCAAAGCAACCCTGAAGGGTTTCAGAGGCCAGTTATTCCGGAAATTTTCCCCCAAGTGGAGGAAGATGTCGAAGGGGCTACACAGTCGGGAGATTCAGACTACACCTGCCGGTGCAAATGTCCGCGTACCTGTGACGCTGAAGGAGCACTGTCGCGAGCTCCGTTTCCTCTCTCAACGCCCCAAACTTAAAATCATCGCCACATGTAAAGACCTCAATGGGTTTGCCTAGGACTAGCTTTGAGGAACAATTTTCAAATAGATTTTAGCTTGGAATCCTCAGCCGGCTCCCTCCACACCTTACAGAAACCTGGTCCTTTTCGCAGTCTCCAGTCACAAGCTGCACCAAATACATCAACATCACAGAAAGCAACCAAGACAAATCGAGTTAAGGATGGCATTCTCACCCGAATCCTTTTACTCACCAGAACGACAACCTTTTACTGCTAAAGGGGGATAAAAGGTCAGAAGTGAAAAATCTATAAAGCAAATTTGCAGTCCCTAATCAATTACAACAGCAACACATATAGCTTGGGAAGTGTGAGAAGACAAATATGAACTGTGCCTTGAAGTATGCAAGAAATAAAAACTTACCCCCAGTGAATATCTCTTAAGCAATGATCAGGGTCTAGAAATCTATACTGAACAGAAGCAGAGGAGAATATTTTTCTGAGTCTCAGGGCAGAAGCTCTTTCTCTATATTCTTGGTTGAGTGAGCACATCCAGGTGTGAAATTGTTTGCACACCCCAGCACCTCTTATATTGCCAGCAAAATTAGCTGTTATTACTGTCACTGTTTAGTGATGGTTAGCGTGATACAAAAAAAAAAAAAAAAACTGCTGTAATCAAGACCTGGCGCATCTTTGCAAATTACAGATAATTGTAAACGTCCAGATTATGATAATAGCATCCTAATCCAGCCTGCAATATAATTATTACAGAGTGTTACATCTGAAACTGTCCAGTAGGGCTAATTCAGCCATTATTTAGACCCTATTTTTGCACTGCAAATGGGTTGCTGAGTTGAAAATGTACGATTGTAATTTCACAGGGCACTCAATGAGTAATGGTATAGGAAGAGGAAAATACAAAAGTGAAATGTGAACAGTAGCGATCAAATCAAACCCTGAAGGACAAAAGACTGTTTGATTCATATGGAAAAAGAAGAGCAGGAATTAAGAAAATAGCAAATCAGTGGTCTGAAGCATTACATGTCCAAATCTTCAATATGTGTAGGGCTGATATGTTTGCAAGGGCTGCTGCATCTGCTGCTGCCTGGAGTCTGAAATAATTTTTCTTTTTTTTAACCTCCTGCCTTTTTTTCTTCTCTCTCCTAAAGTATTTCCTTGCTTTAAAAAAAGTGCCCCTCCCCCAAGCAAGGAACATTTGTCAGTTTCATCATTGTTTCCACCAAGACTGCCTCAGAGCTGCCTGTCACTTGTTTATGAACATTTTCTTAAATGAATTTGCAATCTCTCTTGTTATCAGAGCAAAATGCCTTAGGTGCTTTAAGTGTTCCTGTGCTCTATCTCCATTCTCTTTCACAGTGAACAAGTCATTCAGAATCCTAAAGGTTCTTAGCAGAAAACGTATTAATTGCTGCTAATTAAATAAAGCTAGCTGGGAAGCCATCTCCTCCACTCCGCTTGGCTGGCTATTGGCTTTAATCCTATCATTAACTTTTATTAATTAACCTCCCCCCATATAAACCAGTCTAGCTGCCTTTTTTTTTTTTTTTTTTTGCTACAAGTCACTGATGTGCTTCTTTCTGGATTCCAGAAAGTCCAGTTTTATGTATTTTTGATAAAGGACTGTCCTTGCCCCCAGATATGGTTGTAAAAGAGCAGGGTCAGTCTCCTTAAAATATGGAAGGACCAAAGAGAGAGGGAGTCTGAGAGTTAGAGCAAGAGTCTGGAGAGAGGCTGGGGTGCT